GAAATTTCGCAAGCTGTTAAAGTTACCGAATCTTACACAAGTACCTTCGTGAGCCATTTCAATATTATGTATTTTGTTCTTAATACCTATCTACAGAGAACAAGCGCAGTGCAATTTTGGGCAAAAAGTCTTAAGTTTAAATACGAAAATTTAATTTAAAATTTGATTACCGCTATTGCAGGTTATTCAAAAATTATTATTTTTGTCGTTTTAATAATCGTTTTAATACATTTAATAGGTTTCATTCTACTTACTACCTTCCTTTTACTTACGTTGTGATATTAAGCAGGTATACGGGGTGGATAGCAAGGAAATCCTAATTGAGATAAATTAAAATATAAATAAATACAGGGTGGTTTTTTAGTGCGATAGAGTCCATTATTTCCGATGTTGTTGAACTTTSGAAAAATAGTTTYATWTAWGTTGTTGACGCACAAAGTGCGCAMATTTTAAAAATRTCTTATTTGATGTAGAGTGTCTCAGAAAAGCGAAGCAAGATCAAAGTGTATTTTTTTAAATAGAACTACCCATTTTTCATTAGCTCATGGAATGCAGCTTGAAACACTGCATATGCACCGTAAATTGTTTTTTTCTTACTTGCGACGTTGGCAGATTATCGCCATTTTAGTAAAATTTTGCGATAATTAAAATAATAAAGTTATACCAGGTATAGTTTGAAGTAAGTGGTCATATTTTTCGGTTACTAAAATGACTTTTTTGACAGATTTATTGTTGAGTTTTTTCATATCCGAAAAACATTTTACAAATGAGTCTACTAAAGGTATTCAAATCATGTATAGGTTTTTTCGTTTAACTTTCCTGCTGAGTTGATTTTCGATATGCACTTTCACCTATAACATATGAGTACACATGTTTAGTTATTATCAGTTATGTTTTTTTATTGTTTACCAAGTGTTTGGTTTTGTGTTGCAGAAGATCGTTCCTCAATTATCAGTAGTTCTAAGACAGCTCAGTGATGCCTCCACGGATCTCAAAGCCGTTTTAGCGGCTAAAATCCCCAAAGAACAAGAACGTGTTAAGAACTTCCGTAAAAGTCATGGGGCTACCAAAGTCGGTGAAGTCACCGTTGATATGGTAAGTRCATATGTAATCTATTGAAATGTGGTAWGTTGGGTTCTGGTAAGTTGTTTATAGTGCTGCAAACTAAAATTGACCGGTTAATTTCCATGAAAAGTATCTGTTTCTGAACTGAACGTTCTGCGTCATTTGTGCTGGTACGACCACAGCGAAACTCAGTAAACCACTTCTTAATAGTACCTATAGTATTTATCGAGATTTTTCCTTCGTTTCCTTTATGGTTTTTACGTAAAAAATAATGGTTAATCAGCACTCGAAAGTTACTTTTTTCCGTTTTCGTCGAAATTGACGAAGTCATCTCCTTTCAATGACTGTTAAATACGAGCTAAATTACTTAGCGTACTTAAAATTTCACAGCAGTCTACTAACACACGACAGTTGACGGGAGTAGTGTTGAATTTAAAGTTACTACCTAGGAAATTAAAAAAGTCACTGACTTATCAAACGACCCTCGTATATTCTTGGAGCCCAAGAGTCTACCTTTGAATGTTGTATGTTTTCTGCTTACCATTGGAATGAATGTAGGCTTCATTTCATAAATTAGTTCTATTTTATACCCAACTCGCTAGTTTAGCCTTTCGGATTTTGGTCAATAATTGGTTAAATTTAATTCATAGAAACTGTTTTAGTTACATTTACTTCATAATTTGTTAATGGCCTCGCTCTTGAATTTTAATGGGACATTTTATTCATTTCACATCGCTAAACTATTTAAAAACATTTTTCATACTAAATTCGTTTGAAATCAGTCAATGCAAAAACCTTGTTTTACAAACAACAATAACATTCCATTAAAATCTCCCGAAATGTACTCACTCGTGATTAATCGCTGGAAAATTAATGTTTTCGCTCAACGATACAGTAGCATTTATCGTCTTGTATAAAAAAAATACTATTATAGTTGAAAACTCAGTTACACAAAGTTTATTTAAAACTAAAATCTTAGTTGAAATACATACAAAATGAAAACGCCTTGAAATTGCACATACTTAATACTAATAGAATAATTACAGGAAAAACATTTTTCCTTGTTTTCATTTTTGTCACACCTGTTTCATGGAAATTATCCATTCATATTTTATTTATTTTGATATGCACATAGCGCTGTCTTTCATGTTGTATCGATTGTACATCCAAGGCAACTTTTAGTCGGAATTCAAGAACAGGCTTTAGCTGTTCAAAATGTACAAACAAAGTTCTAATAATTAAAAGAAAACATAGTTTATATAATAATTTATGTGCAGTGCGCCGAAAAATGTGTGTGCTAAAGGCAAACGAAATTGATCCGAAATAAACTTAAAAAATTGTAATAATCATGTGTATTCTATTTTTTCAAAACATATGTATTCTCGGCCACATTCACTTGTGGGATTTTGGACTAAGTTATAACAGTCAGACGTCACTTATCTGGCTTCATTCCAGAGGATCAATATTTTCTATACCATAACTGAATACTTGAATATCTTCCAGGTTTGAAAGTCTGGAAAATCTCATTTTACATGAAGCCTAAAAGTTTTATCCAAAAGCCGTTTTTTATACGGGGTGTCAATTTGAAAACTTCTCACCCTTAATATCTTTCATGCAGTTGAAAATATGAAAAATAAAAAAAAAAACCGTCAATTTTATTTGTAAGGGGATCACTTTAAATTAATATTTTTAGCCTCCTTGTTTCAACCCTTTATGACGGGCAGATGTCACCCTTAGAATCTTAAGTGCGAAGGGGGGTCAAGTGGCACATGGATTTAAAGGGCGTCCAATTCTCTTTACATTAGTTACTACTTTGTTGCTTTTTGTTCAGAGGGGTCCGAATAATCGCGTTTTAAAGTTGTAGAAACAATTTAACTTGCGCGCATTCAGATATTGGTTTTCATGTTAGTGTTTACACAAAAACAATTGTATTGGATCTCCGTGTAATACAGATGATTAAAAGAGTAGGTTATACTGTTAAGATCGTTGAATAAAAGGGAGAAAATCTACTTGAAACAATTGATTGACACGTATAACCATTTTCTAATGTTATTCCTGAGCTATTGCCTATTGAGCCAGAAATGTAATTCTTGAGTGAAAATAATTAACAAATTGTAATACATTTTTTAAAAACCAGTTTAGTAGAAATTATATGCACATGCGACGCACTTTACAGTATGTATTTTTAGAAGATATTTTTTGCTTAAAAATAACAGACGATCACATGTTTTCCATTTATTTGAAACTTATTTTAACTAACTAACTTATTATAAAATTTACTTTCCATTGAGTTTTCTGTTATCATTAGAAATATCAACTATCATATGCCACTTGAACGGATCAATCCACAGCAAATGGTTATATTACACTGATACCCTGGTTTATTCTTTAAAATAATAATTTATCATTCACCCTCGTTTAGAAATTTTGGTTTACATACTTAAATTTCCTTAATAAAGGGGGAAATTAACGTTGAGCTTGATAAACGAAATATAATGGCACTGCATTTATTTTTCCATCGATTGATTGATATGTACCGACTTGTTTATCTATATCATTAGCCTACTGATCATCAATAATGACTAAAATGTGTCTTATGTGGATGACATCGATAATTTAAGTTATTTACTACTACTGAATTATGGATTATTATTTCCTTAGTAACTGAGAAACACATGACAATATATCAGAGACACACATTTTGATCAATCCTTTCAATAATCATTTTGATCATTCCTTAATAGGAAGTTTAAAAATGGTAAAATGTATACCTAGGTTGAAATACAACCAGTTGCAAAATAAAACGTATGTGTTAATTTCTTACATAAACCAAAATATTTCGATCTCGAACCATTTGGTTGAGATTTGATTTTGTTCGTAGGAAAGGTCAGGGTCAGGACAAAGTACTTAGTGCATGGATTAATAATTTGCAGTTGTTTACACATCTTGTTGTATCTATTATGATTTGAAAAGTTCGCATTGTTTCGCAAATACTGCTTCGAAGATCAATATAATATTATTGTATATATCACAATATATACACACGGTATGTGTTTTCATGTTATAAACATAAAAACTTCTTACGAACACGAAAACGTTCTTGTGAATGAAAAATAAATGCAGAATGCGTGAACCGAACGCATTACAGAAAGTCATGCCGTCGAAATCTCATGATAAAATAATTTACTTAACCAGTAAAACGCTACGGCGTGACATTCATTATCTTGCTATAGTAGTCACGCAACAATCATTTTTCTAAAAGTTTATGAATTTGTTTGGCATAGCGATATGTGCAACCCGGAGAGATAATAGTTTGCTTTGTTGCTTCAAAATTGAACTGTTTAAGTAACAAAATATTTTTAAAACAAATTAAAGAAAAATGTTACAAAATGGCAAAACAAGTACCCTAATGCCCTTTGTCCAATATAAGATGAGAACGAACGAATTTTCTGACGAGTTGCCATCAAAGCACCAACACTACAAACCGACTGCAACTCAAAACCGACTACACTTTCATTAGCAACTTGTGTCAGTTCAAGTCAGTGTGAAAAGCACATTATCAGTTTTATGGTTGTAACTTTCGTTTTCAAGTAACCATCAAAACCGTTGTTCCTTTAAATACGACTCTCTTTATTTATTAGCAAAATCGAAAAGCTGTTTAAATGATAAATGATGCAACGGTATTTAACATATTGACATTTAGATAAGTCTTTTTAAATATTCCGAAAATTATGATCATGTCCTTGAATGTTACGCTTTATAGCAAATGTTGAAAAAATTGCTAGTACTTACGGCAAATTCAATATTGAATTATAGATGTACGGAGGTATGAGAGGAATCAAAGGTTTGGTATGGGAACCATCCGTGCTAGACGCCGACGAAGGTATCCGCTTTCGGGGCCTTTCCATTCCCGAATGTCAAAAAGTTCTTCCTAAGGCTCCAGGTGGCAACGAGCCCATTCCAGAAGGTCTCTTCTGGCTATTAATTACTGGAGATGTACCTACAGATGCCCAGGTGAGCGCCCATCCAGTCAGCGTTACTCTAATGCTAATAGGATGCTTTTACAAGATATACAATTGTACATTTTCCTGAAATAACACACACTACAATGCTTATTGTTGTTTTACAGGCCAAAGCCATTTCGAAAGAATGGGCTGAACGTGCTGAATTACCTCCCCATGTGGTAACCCTGCTCAACACTCTACCCAGCAATGTTCATCCTATGTCGCAATTGTCCGCTGCCATCACTGTCTTGAACAGCGAAAGCAAATTCGCTAAAGCCTACGCTAGCGGAGTGCACAAGTCCAAATATTGGGAATACGTTTATGAAGATTCCATGGATTTGATCGCCAGATTGCCAGTAGTTGCCGCCACGGTGTATAGAAATACCTATCGGGATGGATCAGGTTATTCTCTTATTCATTCTCTTATTCCAAATGCTTTGCTAATATTTCCAATTTTTATAGGAATTGGTGCCATTGATACATCCAAGGATTGGTCTTACAACTTCACTCAGATGCTGGGCTATGATGATCCCAAATTCATCGAATTGATGAGATTATATCTTACCATCCACAGTGACCATGAAGGTGGTAATGTCTCTGCTCACACCACGCACTTGGTGGGATCAGCTCTTAGCGACCCTTATTTGTCATTTGCCGCTGGTTTGAATGGTTTGGCTGGACCACTTCATGGATTAGCCAATCAAGAAGTAAGTTGTTTGCCCTTTACAAACAAATGCGCCAACCGATTTTTGAACAAGATTGCTATACAAAATCTAAATGTGTTTTTATAACTAAGGGTACACAATTGTTCGTAGGTACTCTTGTGGATTCAAAAACTCCGCCAACAAGTTGGTGACAAATACACTGAGGAGCAATTGAAAGAGTTCATCTGGAAAACTTTGAAGTCTGGTCAAGTAGTACCTGGTTACGGTCATGCCGTTTTAAGGAAGACTGACCCACGTTACACGTGTCAACGAGAATTCGCTTTGAAACATCTTCCCGAGGATCCCCTCTTCAAGGTAAGTGCTTTTAAGAAACTAATTGTTTTATGATAATCTCCGATCATTTTGCTCCCAATGATACATTTCATCTTAAAGCGTTCATAATTGGTTTTGCGTTAAACCTTATCCATTTTCAATTTCCTGTTCACTGTGCAGCTGCAGTGAAGAAAATAAGGGCAAACGAAAAATATATTAGATAAAATTTGACTGTGAGCTAAAGATTCTGCTTCTTATTCAGTACGTTTGAGTTCACTCTTAGACATAGGCTTCTTCCATTTGTCTCCATGTCGATCTACACTGTGCTGAGAGAATCCAGTTCTTTCCTGCTCGTCTCTGTATACCATCTCGCCATCTTAACAGGGGTGTGCCAACACTGTTAGTTGTGGTTTCCACTGCATGACGCGCCCATCTCCATTTACTTCTCTCACTTTGTTCTACCGCCTCACGGACTTGCTTTTTCACGGGTTTTCGCCCTGATATCTTCATTCGTTTGCCTATCTCTCCAGCTAACTCCGAGTATTGCTCGTTCCATCGCAAGTTGGCAGATTTAGTCGCTGTGCGCATTTCTTAGTTTGGGTAACTGTCTCGAGTCCGTACAACATAACCGGTAGCACGCACGCATCATACACCTTTCGTTTTAAGTTTATTGGTAGTGCAAGATTTCCAAAAGCCACCCAAACCAACTACTCCAGACAACTTCTCCTCTCTATTTCGGCCGTCTGATTGCTCTTACGTGGCATTATGTTGTGGCCAAGATATATATGTATATTCTTCTACAACTTGAAATGCGTGGTTATCGATAGTGACACAAATATTATCTGGGCTCATAATCTTGTTTTTTCGAAGATTCATTTCTGGACCCAATATTTGTGATGCTTYCCTCAGTTCGTGTAACATATTGTACCGTGGATGGCCGAGTATCGAACTCTTTCTTCAGCTTCCAACTTTTATTTACCTCGGTATAACTTTAAATACGGAACAGGAACAAACTAACTTCAAAATTACCGTCAACTTCACAAACAATAACAAAAACACACGGAAAACACGCTCTTCCGACTCGCGGAGTTTAACCTCTTCTGTACTCAGGTCGCTGCTGTCACTTCACTCCCCTTGTCTGGTTCTCCTCGTCGCTTATATAGTTTTCTCCAGGTATCCCAGATAGTTCTAGAAATCTCCAGAACAGGTGCGAAACTTCCCGCTTGTCAGTGTCATATTTGACAGTAAATGGGGCCCAAATGGGCTCCCATTTACTGAAATACCATGAATTTCGATCCCCCATTCCAAACGTGAGTACCCCAGGCCATTTCCGTTACAATATTGCTGAGCTSCSCTGCATTAGAGCTGATGAWTACAATGTCGTCGACAAACGGGGATGATTTAGGTGTCTTCCGTCTATGTTGACTCCCTTTTGTTGCCATGACAATTTMTTAAAGACATAGCTAGGGTGAATAATTTTGGAGAAATGGAGTTACCCTGTCTRACACCTCTATATTGGGATCTTATTCGTTGTTGAGTTTCCATCTATTTTGACATGGAGCGTAGCATCTTTGTTGATGTCTTCAATGAGGCTCGTATATCTTGAGTCGACTCTCGCGTTGCTCACCACCTCTAGCACCGCCCATGTTTCCAGTGAGTCGAATGCTTTCTGGTAGTCAACGAATGCCATTTACATAACGAGGTGTAACGGGCCATTGTGCTCTGCACACTTCTCAATAAACGTGCGCACCCTTTGAATGTGGTCCAATGTCCTAAAGCTACTCCGGAATCCAGCCTGTTTCACGGGCTGGTAAAAATCTTATAAAAATAAAACTTATTTTTGAGGCGGTTGGTAATGATTTTGCCTGGGAGCCTATAAAAAACTAATAGAAAGCTAATCGGTTTGTAGTTCTCTATGTTAATTCGGCGCCGGTTTTTAAAGAATATTATTACCTCGGCATTTATTCATTTATCGATAATTTTTTCGTCCTCCATGCGTCTGTTAAAAAGGACAATCAGCGCTTTCTCAAGAGTTTTACCTCCGTTTTAACATGTTTGCTCTAAAGAGATCTTATCCTGGGGCCTTCCTGTTCTTCATCTGCTTTAATGCCATTCTTAACTCTGCCTCTCTGTAACAACTTCTCCTTGTTGGTTCTTAATTTTGTATATGAGCGACTTTCCTTTTGTTCTTTTCGATCGAAATACTTTTATATTCACGTTGTTCTCGATAGCTTCGTTTATTATTTGTGTTATAAGAGCTCGGGCCCTTTCTAATTGCCTTCTTTACTTCTCTATCCAGCGTTTGACATCTTGCTAATCTCTGTCCGTTGTTTTGCGTTCTGCCAGTAGTTCATTGGTGGTTCTGAGTTTCGTATCAGCTCTTGCTTTCATGGAGCATATTTTCTTTGTAGCTACCTGCCCACGTTTTTTCCTCTGAGTGTCATATTTCTCAGAGCTTCTGATGGTTCCAATTTTTTTTGTGCGTTGTAATCCTCTTTTTTCTTTTTAAATTGGGTCGCGGTTGGCCGAATGATTTTCTCCATTTGTTTTATTCTTTCCAAGTGTGTGTTTATATTTATTGTGGCTCGTACGATGCTGTCTTCACTTCTGGTATTAAAACGACTGAGAACCGATGCATCGGTGCAAAACTGTTTATCTGTAGTGAGAACATAATCTATTTCGTTCTTTATTGCGCCATCTGGACTTCTTCAAGTCCACTTTTTTGAGGTTGTTCCTTAAAGAGTGTGTTCATGCAGTACATTTGTTCTTTGTTCAGGAAGTCAAGCAACATTTGGCCTCTATTATTTCGTGTTCCCAGTCCAAAGTTACCTATGTTCGGGCCGCCTGTCGCTGTTTTTTGTCCTATGTTAGCATTAAATCGCCCATTATAATTTTGAACTTGTTTTCTTGGTTTTTAGCTGTTGTTGGTTTTCATAAAACTGCTCGGCGTCTTCGTCTCTCAATATGTGGGTGCATATGCCTGTATGAACTGTATGCTGTGTATTTTGTTCATTTGCAGCGTAGGCTGCAACTACACTTAACTAATCTACACTACTACAGTAGTGTAGATAACACGGGTCTGATATGGCTTTGCTTTTAGTGACAGTATGTTTTATCGTGCTGTTGACCAGGACGATATTGGCCTCGCCTTTTATTCTAGTCTCACCTTATTCCAAGTAGGTGCTCTTATAGTCTCATTGTGCAAATGTTATATGTTAAAACTAAAATGTTCTTTTTGGTTTTTCGCTTTTTAACTGATATGGGCGGACTGATCAATCCGTGCGAGATTCTGAGCGCTTAGCTCTACTCCCCTGGGTTATTTCTGTTCTGGAATTCGAAATTTTCATTTTTGGCAGGGGTTCGGCAGGCAACGCCACGCTTGCCGAGCGGGTTGGCGAGTGTTTATTTTCAGCCGCCCATTCTGGGTCAGACTTGCTGTTTGTAGCCGCTCATTCTGAGACATACGCTACTTTCCTGTTGGTCCGCGGAAGGTGTTTTATTTCTCTCCTATCACCCATATCTGGCAGGTATTCTCCTATCCGCCACGTGTGGACCTGTCTTCTAGGCGTTACGGGATCTCCCGAAGAAGCGAAAGATTGGATATATGAATTCGGTTCGTGTTATGTTGAAGTTGATTATAAATTGATTCATGGCATCCGGTGGAACATTGAATTAGATTTATGGATAAACTCACACGTAATATGAATTGCAGTTCGCTATAGGCGGAAATTTACTGTAACATGGTTCAAATTGGCAAACTCTTACTATACTTCAAAAATTTTATTATAGCTGGTGTCCGACATCTATAAAGTAGTGCCACCAATTCTGTTGGAACTTGGCAAAGTGAAGAACCCATGGCCAAATGTAGATGCTCACTCTGGAGTACTATTACAGGTAAAAATACATTTACACAACACGGAAAAAATTTCGTGAACTAATGATAATAATTTTGTTGCAGTATTATGGACTTAAAGAAATGAACTACTATACTGTACTCTTTGGTGTTTCAAGAGCTCTTGGTGTATTAGCTGCCCTTGTTTGGGACCGTGCTCTTGGTCTGCCCATTGAACGACCAAAGTCATTGTCAACCGATAATCTCATGAAATCTTTGAAAGCTTAAAGTTCAATTTTAAAGGTTTATGTGAAATGTGTTATTCGCGGTTTATGTAATTTAGGCTCTGTTGGTAAGTCTGTATCATAACTGGGAATAACATTTTTTTCATAGTTTTATTGTGATTGTCGGAGTGATTTATTTAAACTTATCATATCGTCGGTTACCTGTTTACATACAAATTGCGTAGTTTGGTAAGGATGCCCCAGTTTTAAGTTACCTTCATCAAAATTGATCACATAACCAAAAGTAAAGCTCAATAAGCTAGGAATGTACAAATATATCATTCAATTTTGAATACGTTTTGCTTGTTGTGCGCGATTACTTAGTAGTTTTATTTATTTCGACCATATTTGTAGATTACTTACTTTACTCAATTTATTGTACAGGATTTTTCAAACAATCGTCTCAATGAAATGTAATTAGAAGTTCAATAATAAGACAATACATATTTATAAATGAAAGTTGTTATTCAATTTTGTTTTCCCGTATTTGAGCATTTTTCTTTCAGGGTTCAAACTCATTTACTGTGGCCTACAACAACAAGGCTCTAGTGTGAAGTATACTATTCAGTGAATTTACTGTTTTTATCTTATTAATAATAAAAACAGCGAGGCGTTTTTGTGGCATTTTAAATGGTAAACAATAAAATTGACTGGAACCCAGAAATTTTTTTTGAATTAAGTTGAAATACAGTCAGGAAAATATACACAATGAATTAATAATTATCTCAACCATGAATAATATAATCGTCTGGGAAAAGTAAGTGTGTCTGTGGTTTTTGCTTGAACTTGCGTAGCTGCTGCTGGAATTTCAATATGAGCGCGAAATAGGTAAAAAAAAACATTTTATATATTACGTAAAATCTTGTTTGCCGCACAAAGTGGCCAACATTCTATAGTAACAATATTTTGGATCTGAATATTCAATGTCATACCAATAATTCACAGCTATACATTCATGACTTTGCCTGACGTGATGAAACCACAAACTAGGCAAATACAATATATCACCCTTTTCAACTCGTACATGGAATTTCCGTGTTTTTTTATGGAAATCTGAATAATCTTGATGGTCCTTTTCTTGATTTAAAGGATCTGCCGCAATCCAAAAAACACTTTTTGAGTCTGTGCTGTTTTCCACTTCGTACTGGTGCGCGCCAACATTTTTATACTGTTTTACAGGATAGCTTTTATATGGTACATATGGAAGGTCTGCAGGTGGTATCAGAATAAAATCCTTATACCCATCGATAACACAATAGATATTCTCATAAGGATCTTTGTGCACTAAAAATAAAAATTATACAAAATTTCGATGGTAAACTGAGTGTAATTACATTAATGCAATAAAATATGTGCGTTATCTGTTACTATTTCGAGAGTACAACATTGGTTCTTTTACGTTTGAGGAAACTTAACAGATAATCTGATGAATCATTAAAGCATTTAACATAACAAATATTTCTTTAATTCTGAATGTTTTACATGAATCAACGTAGGCAGGTTCATTGTGAAAAGATTTAAAATCCCATTAATTTAATCTGAAAATGTTTGATAACTTTAGGACACGCTATTTTCCAAAGTGTTCATCCATCGACCAAATACAGTTAAAGATGTAATTCATTCAGAAGAAATACCTAAACTGCTCGCAACTTTAGGGTTACAAAAAAATCGAAAAACATACTGCTTGTAATTGCTCTCTCATCTCCCATCCAGAAGTTAACTGCATCAGGATGCTTGTTAAAAGCGGTTGATGCCCAACTGAATTCCTTCTCAACGTCTTCAAGTAATTCACACAAATGCTGAGTTAAATTGGAATTTTGTTGCTGAATATAGCCGATGTAATTTTTCCTGAAATTTACTATAAATAAAAATCCGCCATCTTTGATTTTGTGATAAGAGTGTTTGAACAAAACTAATTACCGTTTTTCTCTCAGTACACTGAGAAAATCTGCAAATTTCATTTTGGTTTCTTCTGGTAAAAAAAAGCAAGGTTGACCTTCATAGCAAGCAAGTCCATCAGCATACCCGTTAGGGGTTAAACTAACTGTAACTTCTTTTTCTGGAAAATGTCGGCTAGAATTTTTACAAAATTGAATGGTTAAGTATTAGGAGAAAAAAGTTAAAAATGTAAATACCGGAAATATTGGGAATTCCATTTGGCAACAGCCGGCAAATAATTTGCTCCTCCCTTTATCAGAACCGGAAAATTTCTGGAAACATATTCACGCAAAAAAACTAAAGGCCATGATTCTCTCTCGCTTTCAAGATGCGTCACCTCCGGAACATTGGTGTTAAAATACAGCAAATCTAAAAACGTATAAAAACATTAATTGAAAATGAAATTCTTCTCGAATCGCAAAAATCACATGATGAGTAAAAGGCGATTGCTCCCATTAGTTTGATTTAATAAAGAATCTGAAAAAATAAGCTTTTATTTAAAAAGTCAATTACAATAAACACGACGTTGTAAAGTCTACGGCTTTGCTTGTGAACATATTGATTACCAAATAAAGTTTACACCTTTTTATTGATATTTTTCTACTCCAGAGGTACTCTCTCCAGGCAGAGAGGTGCATATTTGAAGATTTGCAGCTGTTACTTAATTTAATTATTCGAGAAGTGGGATTTACTAGGATATGAACATGTTTCATATAAATGAGGGCAATAATCCATATCGTAGGCTTAAAGCTAAAACTGACCAAATGTAAATATCAATTTTTGGTAAATGCACTTTTAAACCGAGCCACAAATTATATCAGAAGACACATTTCGTCAGTTTTTGAAGAAAATAATATTACTTTTTTAAATTACTTGGTCAACATACACAAATATCGCTTTGACTTGGTCACTTTCAGCTTTAAACCCTCGATATGTATCCATATATTATGTAAACGTTTAATTTATTGCTTTTTATTTTTTATACAGAGTGTTTGATAAGTCGGAACATTCCTTTCTGGAGCTTATACTACAAATAATTTTGAATATATTTTCTTAGTATATCATATTCCGGAAAGATCTAGTTTTCCACTTAATCTGAGAAAATACCCGACCTTGCACCAATTTAAGTTACCTTGCATATTTCATGGTTTCCAAGATTGCAATGGTAAAGCTCGTTAAATTTTTGCAATAAAGAGAATAAGCCAGCATAATAGCAATGAAAATCACAAATACATAAAAACGGCAGGTACAAACCCTATTCGTCCACACCGGTTTTTACTTCTCATGCACCCTTCGGGGGTTTAAGCATTAGAAAGTTAAGGTACTTGAATACTGAATACTTGTCTTTATCTATGCCTGAATATAAGATAAACATGTTAGGCACAAAAGACGCATTTTGAAACGAATTAAAAACCGATTTAATTTCAAGTAAGTGCAGGTAGTTAGATTTTCTTGTTGAATGGTGTTAACTTGGAAATTTAGATCCTTTACTTATATGGAAAAGTTATTTACGAAAAGAAATGGCATGCTCGTATCACAGTTGTGCTTTTATTATTTCAAATCTATGACTTAAAATAGTAGTAATTTCCCTAATGCACCATGCATGTATGAGGGAAGACGTATAAAAGGGAAGGCTATCAAAATTAAGATAAAGACTTGGAGGATTGTTCAAACTATTTCAACTAATTGTCCATCAATTAAAAGTCGGTGTTTGAAATTTATTACGGATTATATATTATTATTATTATTAAAATTAGTAAAGTTCGATCATGAAAAAATATTAATTCTATTAATGGGGAGGAGCTATCTTGTAACAAAATTTTTCAGGTTGAAATTGCTAAAAAAAGTTTAAGCTTTATATATGGAGCTTATATCCATTGCACTATTCTGCAATTTGAGAAGTTAGTTACTATTGGGAGTTCGTGATTATCATGTTCAGCTGTAGGGAAATATTGAAACCATTCAATGGATGTGGGGGGTTTTAAAAGAAGATAAATTTAGTCGCTTGGCTACAAAAGCTTCTCAAAAAATATACACAAAATATATGTACGTTTCCTTAACGCAATGTATCGTCGGGGGCTAAAAAACAGTATATAATACAGTTTCAATAATTACTACAACAAGAAACTGAGATGTTTGCAAGTATCTAAATCACTTTTGCATGAAGGTATGTATTTAATCCCTTCGGCAAATGATGTTTTTCCCAATAACAACAATATAAATTAACAAATTTAATTAACTTTGTTGACTAATATCTTTTAATGATTTTCCCTTTTAGTGCTAGTCTTTCTTAACTCGAACCAATCTTAATCGCTGCTTATACTAAATGTGTACTTTAAAATAATCAAGTAGCTTGTAATAAACACAGTAATTCATGGCGGCTATTACGTATAAAATATAATATGTAGAGTTTCAACATTGTTAATTTTGAAGAGCACAATTTAACAACTAACCACAAAATGTTTGGCTCTGTATCTAGGTAGCAAACATCAAATGTAGCATATTCAGTGTAGATTTGTTTGGCAACGTTGACATTGCTAACCTAAAACTTAAAGAAAAGCCTCACCTTGCGTTTCACTGTAAAGCGTATCTAAGGTATTTTCCACTATACAGTTTTGAGAACAATTGCTTGAAGACATCTTTCAAAGATACTCGAAAATACCCTTTTATTAAGCTTGATTTACAATCTCGATTGTTTGTAGTTGGTGCTGTTTATCACCTACTCAACAGTTGAGTATCACGGAACGCTGACGTTTGTTTTGATCCTGAAATAGTCGGTCTGTCTGAATAGTGAGTAGTCTGTGGTCTGGTAGACCGACAGCGTTCTCATTGGTCAGAAGTCTTATGATAATGATTACATCTTACATCCAGCTTTATCAACTTATAATGCTGATTCAAACTTTAATACACATATGGTATCTCTGAACCCAGCAAAGATCCACTCCTCGACATCCAATACCCGTCCTCAACATTATTACTTAAGCTGAATATAGGCCTAACTCATGTCCTGCTGAACCTCCACAGCTAGGACTCGGTACTGATTGGATTTTTATTAATGTTTATCAGTAATAAAGAATATCGAAAATACTACTCTGTGAGATACACTCACTAATTAACATTATTATTGATGTTTAACTAAAAATCAACATACCGAAGAGGCTACTTTGTAAGACATACTCACCTGATTAACAATTAAAACAAACACAAGTACTAAAGGGCACTAACACCGATATGCATAGTCGATCTTAGGCACTTTTCCGGAGATTGTTTTGACCTATCGCCGAGCGTGCCGCCGTCGAATCGAAAGCGACGGGTTTTTGATGCAAAGTTTTTCTTCGTTAGAGGAATCGCTGACGATTCTCCCATAGAATGAGCATGCGCAGTATCACTATTCTGGTGGCCCGTGCAGTCCGCTTTTGCAGTGTTATTTTAACCGATAAAAGTTCGGCAGTTCACTAATTAGCTCCTGGAGTCATTTTAAAGGTCTGCGCTAGAACGCCGTAAAAAGCACGGATAAAATATTGCATAAATGAATTGCAAAATAACTATTTTTTCTAAGAAAACACATTTCAATGGCGAAAGCCGTTATTGACGCTGAGAAAATCAACCAATTCATTCCGAAGCCTTTTTTAACGTTAAAAATGTAATGCAGTAATAACTTAGTTTACCTATTATTATTATTTCAACAACACATCACCCAGACAAACTTAAATTTTTTTCACTAAGTAGGGACTGACAATAAAATTCATTAAAAATGTCTATTATCAAAAAAACAAGAAGGCCTCGAATTGTTCCTGGTAATTGATTAATGACTACAAAACATTTACACAATTTCCTTTGAGAAACGAAAGGACTATGTTTCATATCTCGAATATACGTGAAAATAGTAGAATTATTGTTTGAATTGAATATCACGAGTGTTGATGTTTTATTTACGTATCTTTGTGGTATGTATGTTCAAATCTAATTTCACATCCGAATTATGTCAATTAACACTGTACAAAACATCGAGATCGTTATCCATAGATATATTTTAAACAAAAATAGTATAATAAACACGAGAAGTTGAAAACTTTCGCTCACTAAATAGCTTTGGCGATCGTTCAGAGATGCCTACACTCATATCCGACAAATTCCCCCTGCATCGCCCAACAACATTAAAATGCGATGCTCAACCAATCGGCTGTGCAACCAAAATTGCCTGCAGCGAACGGCGGGAGGCCGGCGCATCTTAAGAGATCCACTATGCATACCGCTGTTCATAGATCACAGCAGAGGTTGCTCAGATCACTCTGTGATCGGTGTCTCTGTTATAGTGATTTATATTGAGCTAGTTCGGTAGAACTATTGCTTTGTATGTACTGCTTTTTGCTTGTTTAATTGTTGAGTTTCTGCTTTCTGCAGTGGCCCTTTATCCTCTTGGGCGGGAAAAGGGTGGAAGGATGTAAGGTGGATCTTAATTTAGCAGTTTGAACTTGAGTTTTGTGAAATTAAAGCCGCAATCTTATCGAATTTGGCTTAAATTTTGGAGTCGGAGGAGAAGCAATTGGACTAGCTACGGCTTTGGTGAGGTGGCCGGAGTACATAATTACGTGGACTGGGATTTTTGTGCGTTTAGAGTTCGTTCTTTTTTTCGTTTCATTTGTTTTTTGATTTTGATACGGTGTTTTCTTGCTTTGTTTTTAAAATATTTATCTTCGTTCATCCAAACATTTCTATTTATCTTAGTAACTTCCCGGAAATATTACTAAATACATTTTGCTCCGTTTCACTTTCTTATCTAAGGTTTTATTTAAACAAAGGAAAAAATACAGTTCAGATTTGGACATAATTAATCACTTGTAAGTACCCATTAATGTTCAAGTTTTGAAGAGTTTTAATAGACCATTACACAACATTAAAATAATTTGGCCGCGGCTCAGGCTCGGCTCGTCAGGCCTGGGCGCACCATAGTACTAGTATGCATAAAGTGTTATGAGTTTATAATGTGGTTTTGCGCAATCGTTTTCGCGAGAGTTCGGCCATCATCAGGCTTTGAAAATTTGTCGATAACAAAATTCAACATACTTATATGTAATTTTGGTAGGACTGAAAAAAGCATGGATATGGATGGTAATACATTGTTTCTTTTTGTGTTTAATACATAAGTGTGTGGAACTTGCAGTTTTCTTCACGATATCAAAAACACTCCTTGAAAGTAGTAGATTTTTGGGTTTTTAAGGATATCGTGGAATAGAATTTCTTTCTGATTTTTTTTAATCACGAGTGTTTCACCTCCAGATGTGTTTTCTCCAAAGCTTACACCGGAATGTTCAGTCCAGTGTAAACTTTTCAGTAAATTACCTCTAAAGATGTAAGCCGTTCGTGATTGCAAAACGTCAGGAAGAAATTATGCACAGCGACAAAAAAGTCCCAAAATCCGCTGGTTTCATATATCATGCTACACAGCTTTAATTGTGCGTATTTAAAGTAGGTATTATTGAAACATTCTCTATGCAACACAGTAATTCATTTGTGCCACAAATCAATTGCTGTGTTGATCTGAAATGTTTAACCCGCGTTTCGCTAAGCTTGCCCTGAATGTGTGATTCATCCAACTCAATTTCGAACAGAACATTTTTTAATATCTATTTTAGGTAGGATATCTTATTGCGAAGATTGTTCCTTTGCAGATTCAAACTTTACATGTTTTTTAATGATATTAGAAACGGTTTAAATCTAATGAAAACGTTTATTGTTATAAATCAAACCGGCTAACAACGCAAAAATAATTTATAGTTTCAGATATAAGTATTAGAAGATTGAAAAAACTATCTTAATATAATAGAAACATTTAATTAATCTGACCAAATAAATCAAAGGTTACTTAACAATTGCTTTTTTAAATTATCACAAATAATTTGTCAATGTCTCAACCGATCTTGTAGGTAGTGTGCTATTATTTTCCCTGTAGCATAACTGGGCTCAAGATACAGACAAAATTAATTTTAGCATGTTTGAAATATTTATCTATTTATTTATTTATTTATTAAGTACTTATTCTCGAGTTCAAACGCCGTCGTCGCTTGAAAAAACGACACTTTTCGCCCTTGTATCGAAAACTACTATTTAGACACTTCGGCTTCCAAAGTTGTTCCAGTAAAATTCGCTAAGCAAATGGCAAAGATCGAAACGATGTGACACCTTGATAAGCATCACTTCAGCATATAGTTTGCAAATTAAAAAAATATGTTAATAATAGACAGTGTATTTGAGTCAAGACATAGAAAATATATTAATCGATAAGAAAAAAATAAAAATTTATAATAAAAATTCTAGCTGTTTATGTGGCAAAACTAAGACTGACGAAGGGTTAAATAATTGCTACTTCTTGGTTGGTAGGTTGTTCTTGCAATAGACGGACTTCATAATTAATCCTGTTTCTACAGCTTGATTTTCACCATTGTCTTGCTGCAGACTTATCTGGCCACTACTTCCACAACGTAAAATAGTAGCATATTTCTTAACTCCTCGTTTGAATGCACCACTTTTCTCATCTTTTTTTCACTGTCTCAAATGAGACACGATTGTAAACGTATTTTTTCTTTAATGTTAATTGTTGTAAAAACCGTTGAAAATTGAGAAAAAAATGTAAGGAATATTTTTTGCATTAATATAGTAATACAATTCATATACTAAGTATATATAATACAATTCATATACTGTATACATTTTTTTTGGTTCTTGGATTTATTTTATCTATAGTGATTAATGCTAAACTGAACCGATGAGTCATAAAGAATTCGAAGCGACATTTCGCTCCTACGACGTTTTTGGTTTAATTATATCTCCGTATCCTTAGACCTTTTTCTAGCAGTATAAAATTGATTGGCAAAGGTAATCAATCGATTTCTATTTTGCTATTAATTAAAACTTTGAAATAAGTGTATTTTAAGATTCAACCAAAAGATGAACACCAGTGAAGTTTTAGTCGATCCCAACGTTTCTGTGGAATTTGAAGTATTTGGAAAAGTTCAAGGTAAGTTTTAAAATTTAATTCGTTATCAAAGTCGATCGCCAATAAAATATATGTCAGGTTTGGCCAAGTTGTCTGCTCTTTGCGTAAGACTTTCGTACGGGCTATTAGAAACAATTACTTTTCTTGATTATAGAAGTATATCGCTACTCATCCTTCTTACACTTTATCGATACTCAAACTTACTTGGAACCAATATTTTATTTTAAAACCCTTATAGCTTTAAAAACATCTTCCGTATAGCTCGATTTAGAAATGTCCGCAGCACGCGTGGCATTTTTCAAATTTTTATTTCACAAATCACATATGCTTCTAGCAAATCTGCTAGGCACGTAAGTTTGATTTGCCTGGTTGTTGGTTGATGTGAAATGTTTTTCAGTAGTTTTTACATTCCGCATAAAAACAATAATTAAACATCATTTATACTTTTTAGGTTGTTCTTTTACCAAATACTGCAAAGATTTGTGTGAAGAGCTCAATGTTGGCGGTTGGATCAAAAATACCAAAAGGGGCACAATTACCGGAAAAATCCAGGGACCTAAATCTCGAGTGGAACAAATGTAAGTACTTCAATATTCCACTCTCAATAGACAATCATCAATAAATTATTTTCTCAGAGTTTACTGGCTCTCTAACAAAGGTTCTCCTGAAAGCCATATAGAGCGATGCGACCTAAACAACTGGCAAATGTTGGCAAAGCTGGATTATACAAGTTTTACTATTAGATTTTAGTAGTTACTCATGATATTATATGTGTTAATTAATAAGCTTTTGTAATATATCTAAGCATTCGCTTACTGAAAATTACTTTTCATACTTTTTGATCAATAATTTACTTTTATTACTACTTACTACCTGATAAGTCACCATTATTTACTCCATTTCCCTAGTGAAGTGAAGTTATATTTCTCTCCCTAGGTCCATAATAATAATAACAAAGTACCTAGATAAGATACCTAAACTACCTAACAAAGATGTTTACGTTTTTCATTAAATTTAGTCTGCCCACCTCTCTCAGTTCAAGTGATATTCCATCCAGTTCCACTTCTAAATCAATGTAACTTTATGATTCACTAATTTTTGGCGCTTCCGGAAGTTTTTCATAGAACAATTTCATGGCTTTTGTTAGTTTTCTGGAGACCCGTAATAGCATTTTTTTAACAAATCAACGCCTTTTAATCTGCAGGCGTTTTCCAAATTAAATGCGTTTTAATATTGAAGAATAACTATTTCGAGTGAGGAATTACCTCCATGTAAATGGTGTCATAAAATATATGATTATCTAAAAAAATCAATTACATAATTAAAACCAACCATTTAAATATTTAAATAAAAATAAATATATTGAATTATTTATTGTTCATTGTACGTACTAACAAGTTAGACACACCTAATGTAATTTACAAAATAGACTGTTTAAATTGTGATAACACATACATAGGTCAAACTGGACAATATCTAAAGAA